CCACAGCTCAGCCAATGAGAAACGCCACAGCTCAGCCAATGAGAAACACCACAGCTCAGCCAATGAGAAATGCAGCAGCTCAGCCAATGAGAAGCTGTCTCCACCCTGAGCTGTTACTTTCCCCCAATGGACTTTTCTTTAGAACAGCCCCTCCCCACTCCCCCTTTTCTCTATAAAAGCAGCTCCCCCCCTTTGTTCTCTGGATTTGCCTGTGGTTTGCCATAGCACGCACATCCCAAATTGCAATTCTTTTGGCTATTCCTGAATAAACTCATTTTGAGATACAATAACAGGCCAATTTGCTTTTCAAGTTACATGGTAGATACCATTATTATTCCCAGTTTACATAAAGAGTAGCTGAGGCACAGAGAGGTTAGGCAATTTGCCTGAGATCACACAGCTACAAGTGGTGGAACTAAGATTTGAGCCCAGGCAGAATAGCTCTAGAGCTGCATTGTCCAATATGGCAGCCACTAGCCTTATGTGGCTATTTAAATTTAAAGTAACTGAAATAAAAGTAAAAATCCACTTCCACCTTTTGAGTACTTGCCACCTTTCGAGTGCCCAGTAGCCAAGTGGATAGCGCAATTACAGAACATCTCCATCACTGAAGAAAGTCCTACTGGATAGCGCTGCCTAGAACTCCTGCTGTCAGCCGCCAAACTCTACTTTTGGTGTCACTTTTATTTTTATAATACGTAAAGTGCTTAGTACAGTGACCTCTAGGTAGCACGATTCCACTTGGGGCAGACCCTAGCTGTCCCCTCATATCCATTCTTCCCTTGTCCCACTGTGACAGGCCCATGGCTGCCAGCTGGAAACTACATTTCCCAGCCTCCCTTGCAGCTAGCTGTGGTCATGTGATTAAGTTACGGCCAATGGAATGCAAGCAAAGTGACGTATGCAAATTCTGTCCAGTCCTCCCCTTTCCCCTTCCTGAGCTGGAGCACAGATGTGTCCACAACCCAGGTTTGACTCGCAAGATGAAGTCACCCTTCTCAGGGATGGCGGGATAACAAGACTTGGGTGACCTCCTGGAGCGTGGTGTCCTGCCAGCCTTCACTGCTTACCCTGAGGCTATTTCTTGAGAAGGAGAGAGACACATGTCTTTTATTTAAGCTGATGAATTCCGGGGTCTCTGTTACAGCAGCCTAACCTTTACCCCAATGGAAATTCAAACCTGTCATGGTGCTTTCCCCTGGCGGGGCTGGGGAATTAAAAGTCATTCTTCCCTCTGTTCCCTTTGCTTGTTTGTATTCTCAATAATGAACAGGCATTGGTCGTTGAGTTAAAACACATAATAAAATTAAATGTTAAAAACCCACTTTTCTGCTAATTGTCACAGATGATACTGTCTTGACACAGTTCCACGTAGTCACACTGGGCTCTTCTAACCAGACCACGGATTATTTAAGGCCAGAAGAGAAGCGGGTAGAGAGTGCATGCCGTGGCAGGGTTAGGAGCTACAGGGTCCGGCACGGTTGGGTTCGAGTTTTGGCTCTGAGGGACCTTAGACAATCAGCTTCACCTCCCTGGGCCTCAGTTTCCTCGTGTGTAAAATGGGAACAGTATTAGCACTTCCCTTAAAGGAGAGTCAGGAGGGTTTAGTAAAATATACAGGAGGTTTGGTATATAGTAACCACTCACCAAATACTACCGATTCATGCCTGATCATGTGGGAAAAGCTGGAAGGAACGACAGGGCTGAGGTGGACCAAACAGAAGCCCAGAGAGGGCAGGCATCTCACCCAAGGTCACACAGCAGAGACCACCCCTGCCCTGGCCGCCCCACTCACCTGGGCTCGCTGCAGCTTCTCAGCAGCCTCTGCTCGTGCCCGCTCCCCATCGCCAGCCCGGCCCTGCACCTCCTGCAGCTGGGACTCCAGGCGGCGCCTCTTCTGCTCACCCTCCTGACGCACAGTCTGCAGGCTGTTCAGCTCCCCCCGTAGCTCGGACACCTCAGCCTCCAGGGCCAACCGGGTCTTCTCCCATGCACTTTTGCCCTGGCGAGGGAGAGAGACAAGCAGATTTATGACGCCGCCCCTCTACTAGGCCAGGCACACTCCTGCCTCAGGGCCTTTGCACTGTCTATTCTCCCTGGAACTTCTCACTGTTCCTTAAAGACACAGGCACACTCCTGCCTCAGGGCCTTTGCACTGTCTATTTCCTCTGCCTGGTCCACGCTTCCCCATGTTGCCAGGATGGCTCACCCCTCACCTCCCTCAGTGAGGAAAGAAGCCCAGAGAGACAGGCTGGCCCAGAACCAGCCAGAGGTACCTCCTCCAACCCAGCATCCTGCCCTCCCCTCCCCATGGCACCACAGAGCCCCCCACTCCGTCCTAACTCACCCTCCGGGCCTGCTCCAGCTGCTCCGCCAGCTCTCCTAGCGCCTGGCCGTGGCGCTGCCTCAGCTCCTGTACTGCCACCTCGTGAACGCGGGTCTCCTCTTCCAGAGCCTTCTTCAGCTCCGTCACCTCCTGTTCCCTCTTGGACCTTTTATTGAGGATGGGGAACAGAATTTCAGAATAGAGGAAGGCAGGAACTTTGGGGGAGCCCACAATAGCTAGTGTCTCTCCAAGGATGGGGACCTCACTCTACAATCCCCAAGGGATCTGGGTGGTGATGCTGTGGGAGGAGGGTGGCTTTAAGGGTGAACTCCTACTCATCTTTCAAAACCCTATTCAAAGGCCCCTTCTCAAAGAAGTCTTCCTGGACTCCCTCCCATAGACATGGAGTAGGGCCCTTCTCTTATCATCCATAATGCCCTTTACTACTCCATTAAAGCATGCTTTGTTCTGGATTGGGTCTGCCTTTCCCAGAGTCTGCCTCCCCCGAGACCAGGAGTTCCTGAGAGCAGTGCCCAGGTCCGACTCATCTCTGTCCCCAGCTTGGCCCAAGCGGGGCGCAGAGCTGGTGCTCAATCATCAACTGTTGAATGACTAAACCTTCGTGGAAGATGGAGCGCTCCACCCAGGTCCTCCCTCCCCCGACCCCGCCCCGCACGTGTCCAGCCGCAGGCCTCACCGGAGCTCCTGCTGGGCGTTGGTGGAGTCCAGCGTGTCCTCCAGCTCGCTCCGCAGCGCCTCCAGCTCCTCGCCCAGGTCCCGGCGCTGCTTCTCCGCCTTGGCCCGGGCGGCGCGCTCCGCCTCCAGGTCCTCCTGGGCCTCGGCCAGCCCCGCCTGCGCCTCCCGCAGAGACTTGAGCAGCTGAGCCCGGGCCCCGCCCTCGTCCTCCGCCCTGGGGGTGGACGAGGACCACGGAGTTGGTGGGGGGCAGGCGGGGGGAGGGATGATTTCTGGGGACGGAGAGGCCTGACGTGGACTTTGGGGGCGGCCAGTCCTGGGTTCGAATCCCAGCTCTGCCCTGGGGCACGTGCCTCCAGGACTCAGAGCCTCAGTTTCCTTAGCTGTAAGATGGGAATGACACCAACAGTAGTCACAGAGACACTCACTAAGCTTCTGCCACACGCAAGCCCTTTACTCTATCATCTCATTTAAAGCTCACACCAAATGAGGAAACTGAGGCATAGAGCAGGAAAGCACTTGCCCTGGTCGTGTGGCCAGTGAGTGGCAGAGCTGTCCCCAGAGTCCCTCCTTACAGCCCCCACGGGACACGGCCTCTTGTAAAGAGAAGCTGAATTGAGGGCAGCGTGGGCTGGAGGTTAAACGGCTCAGGGAGCCATGCAGACTGAGATTTGTAGCCCCTGCTCAGCCACCTGTCCTGGCAGGTGACAAGCTCTCCGAACTACAGGCTCCTAGTCTGCGAGAGGACACGAACGCCCCCCGTCACAGGGTTGCCGTGAGGATGGCAATAAAAATAGTCATAAGAGCATAAAAGGCTACGTGTTGTATGAGTCCACGTATATGAAATATCAAGAACAGGCAAATCCTGGGCCCGGCCTGGTGGCATAGCGGTTAAGTTCATGTGCTCCGATTCAGCGGCCCGGGGTTCGTGTGTTCGGATCCCGGGCGTGGACCTACACGCTGCTCATCAAGCCATGCTGAGGCAGCATCCCATATATAAAATAGAGGAAGATGGGCACAGATGTTAACTCAGGGCCAATCTTTCTCAGCAAAAAAAAAAAAAAAAAAAAGAACAGACAAATCCTATGTGGACAGAAAGCAGATTGGTGGTGCCAGGGGCTGGGGGTGGGGGAATGCAGAGTGACTGCTCAACGAGTGTGGGTTTTTTTTGAGCTGATGAAAATGTTCTGGAAGTAGACAGAGGCTGTGGTTGCACAACATTGTGAATGTGCCAAATGCCGTTGAATTGTTCACTTGGGTTAATTTTGTTATGGCAATTTCACCTCAATACAAAAAAAAAGGAAAAAAAATAACCACAGCAATAATGAAAAGTAGCAACAGACACACCCAGCCTTTCCCGAGGGCTTTGGGTGCATGAAGCGTTTTATGAGCACTTTCTCATTTAATCCCCACAAAAACCCGAAGAGAGGTGTCTGTAATCCCCCCATTTTACAGATGAGGAAACTGAGCCCTGAGAGGTGAGGTCACCTGGGTGAGGTCACATGACCGGAAGCGGGAGGAGCCAGGGTTCAAATCCAGAAGTCACACTTGCGGGGGCGTGTTCTTACCCACCCCACACACACACCCTTGTCCCATCGATTCTAAGAGGCACATTTTTTCACATTTCAGCATCTCTGAAATCGAGTTGCACCTGTGATCAAGGGCATCTCGGATTGCATGAAGCACAGTGCGTCCAAAGCATCTAAAATACCTGGCGCCATGTCTGGCACACAGTCAGTGCTCAATAATTGCACATGACTGTAAGTATGATGATTCTGATTCCTCAGACAGCCCGACCCCTTATCAAATCACGGCTGACTCTGGGCTGTTCAGTTTGGGGAGGCTGAGGCGGGGAGAAGAAGAAAGAGCGTTTTCTGTTTTGCACCCAGAACTGTGCAAGCGACTAGACCCACAGGGCCTTCTTTCACTGTTCCCTTAACCAGGTGGGCCTGGCATTCTCACTATGCCCATTTTACAGAAGGGGACACCGAGGCTCAGAGCAAGCGGGCACGTGTACGCCTGGCGGGTGGCTGGGCCGGGCTTTGCACCCGGGAGGGCCTCGCGGGGGCGCCCCCCGCGCCGGCAGGCCGTGCACCCGGGCTGCAGGCCCCGCCCCGCCCCGCCCGCGCCCTGCACCTGGCCAGCGCGGCCTGGAGCTCCTCCTCCTTGTGGTCCAGCTGGGCCCGCAGCTCCTCCGCCCGGTGCTGCTGCTCCACCACCTGCTCCTGCAGCTCCGAGCTCTCCACGTCCAGCCGCCGCCTCAGCCTCTCCATCTCCTGGCGGCCCTTCTCCTCCTTCCGCAGGCGGTCTAGGGGCGGGGGCGGGGGCCGTGCGTGGGAGGTTCCAGACCCACACGCCCAGCAGCGCCCGTGGGGACCCACGGGCCCCGGCACTTGCCGGGTGTCCAGCTGAGCTCAGCATCCCCCTCCACACTTCCTCCTCCTTCCAGCTTCCCCCTCTCGGGGGCCGCCCCACTGTCCCGCAGATGGTGGGCCAGACCCCCAGACGCCGTCCTCTGCTCCTCACCCCCAACGACAGCCCTCACTCCTGCTGGCGTTCTCTGCCCCGTCCTCTCCTCCCTGTCCCCACCGCCTCCTCCTGTGCCTTCTCACTCCCTCTTGTTTCTGATTCTGAGTCAAAAGCAAGGGACAGAGAGACACAGAAGTGTCTGAAACAGTTAGTGGGACAGTCAGAGAGAGAGAGACCCAAGACACCGAGGAGAGAGCAAGAGAACAGGATTTAGAAGGACAGAAACAACTTAAGAGCTGGGAAGACGCCCAATTCGTCCCAAGCTTTCTTTCCTGCCCCCATTCAGCAGATGCGACCACTGAGGCCCCACAGCACACGAGGCTCGCCTGAGGTGCCCCCCACCGGAGCACGCACAGGCCCCCATAGCTCCCCCCCTGGGGGCGGGCGCTCACCCTCCATGTCTGCAATCGTGGCCTCGTATTTGAGTCGAAGCTTATTGAGGCTTTTGACCTTCTCCTCCTCCTCCGCCGCCTGGGATGAGAACTCGGACAGACGGTCCTCCAGCAGCTTCCGCTCCTGAGGGTGGTGGGAGGTGGGGGGGGGGGCAGTCAGGAGCAGCCCCCACCCGCCCTCATCTCTGGTGTCATTCTCCTCTGCGTTTCGGCTCGTTCCATCCTTCCCTGACCCTCCTGCTCCCAACCCCTCCCTCCTTCCCCATCCTCTAGGGTCCACTGACCCGCCCCCCCCCCCAGGTCACGCCTGTCAACTGCAGTGGAGATTCCCATCATTCGAAAGACACCACCACTGGTTAACCCATCATCCCGTGACGGACACTGAGGTTGACTCTAATCATTTGCTGTTATAAACAACACCGCAGGGACGTCCTGGCTACCACTGTGCTCAGAGTATGGGTCATGAACCAGCAGCATCAGCATCAAATGGGAACTTGTGGGGAAACGCCGAACCTCGGCTCCACCCCAGACCTGCTGAATCAGAATCTTCATTGGAACAAGCTCCCCTTAGGACCCCAGTGCACGTCAGAGTTTGAGAAGCCCCGGCCTGGAACAGCACTTTTCAAACTGCGAGTGGTTTTGGAAATCAACGCTATGGGTCAGCACTACTCTTAAAAGGAAAGAAACAGAACAGAGTAGAATAGGATAGTTATTGAACCAAAGGAATGTTCTGGAAAACTCCTGTGCATCCTTGAGTTCTCAATTCCGGCATCATTGCTTTGGGGAAGCCTTCCCTGATCACCTCCAGAACAGGTCAGGCCACCCCCTCCATAGCGTTCTCTTTTTTTCTGACAGTTTATAATTAAGCCACGATGTGTGATAATGTTTCTTTCCTGTGGTGACTCATCCCTTTCCCCCAGCCCCCTGTGAGGACATAAATGGTTTTCTAGTTAGTTCAGCGCTGTAGCCCCTGTGCCCAGCCGGGTCCTGGCTGTGGCAGGTTAAAGGTGGCAGCAGATTCTCCGCCATGTCCCCACCCATGGGCAGAGTCTAATTCTCCACCCCTTGAATCCGGGCTGAGCCTGCGACTGCTTTCAGCTCAATGGCCTGCAAACCACAGCCTGCAGGCCAAATCCGGCCCCCGGCTTGCTTTTATAAATAAAGTTTTATTGGGACACAGCCACGCCCATTTGATGATGTACTGTCTGTGGCTGCTCTCTCGCCACAACCACAGAATTGAGTGGTTGTGACAGACACAGGGTGGCTCGCAGGAGCCCCGAGACACCAGACACCCAGCTCCAGCCACCACGTCACCACGACGGCCTGAGACAGCCCCAGGCGAGACAGCGGAGGAACCGTGCAGCCAACCCACAGAATGATGGGATACAATGACACGGTGGTTGCTTTCAGCCACGCGGCTTGGGGGTGTCCTACGCTCCAGCAATAGGTAATGACACCCAGTAGTTGCTCAATAAAACCTGCTTAAGTGAAGACGTGATGGAGAGGCAAGAAGAGAGAAAGGGTTAAAGGGAGACACAGCCAAGATGAGGGTGACAAAGACCCTAGAGGTGGGGCTACCTGGGGCAGATGCAGAGAGGGACCCACACGCCCCCCGACGCCCCCACTCCCCCCGCCCTTGGGGGCTCGCAGGCCACCGACCTTGCTCAGCTTGGCGTTCTGATCTTCCAAGAGGAGCAGGTCTTCCTCAAATTTCTTCAGCTTTGCCTCGATCGTCACCCTCTCCAGCTGCAGCTTCTGCCGTGCCCCCTCCTCAGCCTCTAGGTGGGTCTCCAGCTCCTGAGGGCAGGAGGGTGGGGTGAGGCCCGGGGCTGGGGGCTGGGGTGTGATGGGAAGGATGGGGGTGCAGTCCACGGATCCCCCGGGCTTGTGGCGCAGACAGGTCCACACTCTGGGTGAGGCTGGGAAGGACCAAACCCTGACTGGCCTTCCCATGTCCTTCATTAGCTCACCCAGCATTTATTCAGTGTCTAATACGTGTCAGGCCCTGTTTTAGGCACCAGGGACAGATAAAGATCTTTGTCCTTGTGGAAATGACATTCTTGGGTGTATGTGAAGATTACAAACAATAAACATAATAAATAAACATATGGAGGTGGGCACTGTCTGCTACGGAGGTGACTGGGCACACGTGGCAACTTGCGGTGTCAGACGGGAAATTAAGATTCAATATTGTGCAACAACATGGATGGACCTCGAGGGCATAATGCTAAGTGAAATACGTCAGACAGAGACAGATAAACCGTATGCTCTCACTTATATGTGGAATCTAAAAAGCGAAAACAAAAAACAGAAAAACAAAAAAACCTGAGCTCACAGGTACAGAGAACAGACTGGTGGTTGCCAGAGGCAGGGAGCAGGCCAAATGGGTGAAGGGAGTCAAAAGGTATAAATTTCCAGTTACAAAATAAATAAGTTCTGGGGATGTAAGGTACAGCATGGTGACTACAGTTAATAATGCTGTGTTGCATATTTGAAAGTTGCACAGAGAGTAGATCCTAAAAGTTTTCATCACAAGAAAACATTTTTTTTGTAACTGTGTGTGATGACGGATGTTAACTAGTCTTATAGTGGTGATTGCTTCACAATGTATACAAATATCGAATCATTGTGTTGTACGTAACAAACTAACATAACGTTATATGTCAATTATGCCTCAATTTAAAAAAAGACTCAATATTATGTGCTGCCGTGATGTCTGGTAAAATTGGGCAGACCTATAAAGTTCTAACCACGAGTCCTCCTACCCGTTCTGCTCCCACAGATAAGGACCCCTCGCCAGTAACCCTCCTTATCGCGGGGACCAGGCACAGTGATAACAGCCTGCTTATCCCTGTTTGGTGGACCTCAGTTGCCTGCCAGCCCTCGGAATTATTCAAACAAAACAATTACATCTCCCTGCAGGAACCAGGCGTCACCCCACCCTCTTCTTACTACAACGTCTCCTCCCACAGCCACAGCTTGATCACGCTATTCCTGAATGCAACGCCCGTGTGCCTCTCTGTGGCTGATGTCTGCTTCCCTCAGGCTGTGGGTATTTGTGACTAATAAACTGCTGTCTATCTCTTCTGTGAAAGGTCAGGTGTGGTGTGTTAGACCATCTCCATAACTGTCAGGTAGGATCCCTCCCTCACTGACAGAGTGAAGAGGAGGTGATTAAAATGCTACTGAGCTCTTGAAATGTGCCCAGTGTGACTGAGGAACTGAATTTTCAATTTAATTTAATTTAATTTAAATTTAAAACCAGACATTCAGTTAATCACTGAAAAACTTTTAAGTATGTTTGGAACAACTTGGGTATGTAAATCTATTTTTTCAACTGAAGATGTTATAAAATATAAATGTAGATGAAGTATTGTCAATGAAAATTACGCATCTAAATGGAGATGTGCTATAAGTATAAAATACATACTGAATTTTGAAGGGGAACTCCGGGAGGGCAGCCTGCCTGCAAATGCAGCAGCACAGAGGCAAATGGAGCCAGGAGAGAGGCAGGGTACTGAAGATATCACTTGAGCACCTGGATCCAGCCATGCCTGAAGCTTATCCATTCTGGAGTCTCCCATTATTTGAAACAAAAGAAGTATTCTTTTTCCTTAAGCCACTTTGAGCTGAGTTTTTCACAAATTCATGGCCAAAAGAGACATGGTGTGCAAAAGCAAAGGTGGGCAGGGTAGACAGAAGGGTTGGGGGAAAGTGGCCTCAGGCACGTGGGGGCCAGACCTGTATATGCTGCTGCAGCCTCTTCTTCTCACTTTGCAGCTGGCGGCTGCACTCCTCCTCCTCGCCCACGCGGGCCTCCAGCTCGGACACCACCAGCTCCAGCTCCTGCTTTCGGGCTGCCAGCCGCCCCCGCGTCTCTTCGGCCTCAGCACACAGCTCTGCTTCTGCTCGCAGCTGCTCTGCCAGGCGGGTGCGCTCCTCTTCCAGCTGGGGACGGGGTGGGAGGTCAGCGGTCAGTAGGTGGTGCTCCCAGGACAGCCCTCAGGGAGCACCAGGGCCCTCCTGTCCCAGGATTTGCTTTGCCTTTTGAGGGATGGGGGACAGCGGGGACACAGTCCCCCAACCCAGTCCTCCCCCAGGTCCCCATCTCAGGATGACCCTACATCCCCTTAGTCACAGAGTCAGACCCCAGGGTGCCACCCTCTCCCTCACCTCCCCACAGCCCATCAGGCCCCAGCCCGGTCCCTCCTGCCCCCTGACTCTCTCTGCCCTGCCCCTCCTCTCTGTCCCCATAGCCCCGACAGGCTCAGTCCTCCTCCTCTCCCAATGGACTCTCTCCCCAGTCTCCTGGCCTCCAGCCTCTCCCTCTGCACTCGAGCCTCCAAATAGCCCCAGAGAGGCCTTTCTACCATCTCACATTTCATTTAATACTCCTACGCCTAGAAATTTAACCAAAGGAAATATTTCAGTAAAATCAGCAAACAGAAAAATACTCAAGAAGGGATTTGCTTCTGCATCTTTTTAAGAAACCAGAAATACTGGAAACAACGAAAAGCCCACCGCCTGCGTACCACAGCCCCGCCACACAGCCCGGCCCCTGCTCTACCCCAGATCCTGGAGCCCAGCCCCCTGAGCACCTGGGCTCCGCAGGAACCAGGCCGCCCCCACGCCCCCCGGCCCCACGTCAATACCCTACCTACCCGCCCCCAGCCCTGCTCCCTGCATATTAAGGCTGAACCACACCACACACTTCCGGCTTGGAAGCCCCGCCCCTCATCACCTGGCTCCACCCACAGCTCCGCCCCATGGCTCCCGCCCTCTCCCAACCTGGCTCCACCCACAGCCCCGCCCCACCATGACCCCGCCCCTCGCAGCCCGACTCCACCCACAGCCCGCCCCACCCCATGGCCACGCCCCTTGCATCCTGGCCCCACCCACAGCCCCGCCCCACCACATGGCCCTACCTCTCACAATCCGACTCCACCCACAGCCTGCCCCCATGGCCCCGCCCACAGCCCCGCCGCACCCGGGGCCCCGCCCCTTACCTGCGCCACACGGCCCTGGAGCTCGCCCACCTCGCGGGCGCTCTGTTGCTGCAGCTCCTGCACTTTCTGCAGCTCCTGAACCCGCGCCTGCAGCACCTCGTCCTGCCGCGTCACCTGCAGCAGGGGCTTCACCTGGAGGGAGGTGAGGGGTGGTGGAATGGCTGGCTCCCACGGCGGGAGGCTGCTCGGCCTGCGAGCTAAGAGCTCACACTCTGAGTAGGGCCGATTGGGGGTTCCAATGCCAGCTCCTCCGCCTACCAGCTGCGTGCCCTCGGGTGAGCACGTTAGGGTCCAGCTATAGAACGGGGATGATTACAGCCCCGCTTCACGGGGTTTCTGGAATGAGTGCATGAGCTAACATTGCTGTTCTGTAACAGTGTTTCTTACACCAAGGTCCAGAGTGAGACATGCACGCCAGGCTGTGTAATTCAGGTTGGAGTGACAGGCACCATGCACACCTGAAGCTGTCCTGTATCTCTTATCCATGCTGGTTTGACTCAGATTTCTTGGTGACTTGCTACCTAAAGAATCCTGGCTCACAAAGGTTGAGCTGATTGGTCCCATTTTACAGATGCAGAAAACTGAGGCCCAAATGAAGGAAGTCACTTGCTGCAAGCACACCTGGCCCCAAGGTCCTGTCTCCTCGCCGCTCGGGCTGCCCCCCCAGCTGCCCTCACCTTGGTGAAGAGCCGCCACCACTGCCAGTGCCTCAGCTTGAGGTAAGCTGCACAGTTCCGCTGCATGACCCTCAGGGCGCTCTGCTGCTGCTGCCGCTTCTGGAAGGCCCTGGGTGGGGGCGGGAGAGTGGGAGAGTGGAGGCTCCACCCCTCCAGACCTGTTCCCTTAGCAAGAGAGCGAAGCTCCCTTCAGTTGCTCAGCTGTTATTAAATGCCTACTATGCGCAAGCACCGTTCTATTATTGGTAGATCTCAGTGTGTACAGTCCATCGGTCCCCCTGCCCTTGACTCTCTCTGCCGTCCTCCTCTCTGTCCACACAGCCCCAGTTCAGGCCTCATCTTCCCCCTCCTGGACCCTCACCCCAGCCTCCTCCTGGGCCTCCCAGTGTCCAATCCATCCCTGACATACACCCAGAGCTCACCCACCCCTCCCCTGCTCACAGCCCTCCCAGGGCTCCCCAGCACCCCTAGACAAGGTCTCCGCCCCTCAGCCTGGCATTTGGGGGGTCCTTTATCCTCTGATCCTTCCTCTGGGCCAGTTCCAAGGGGGAAGGGGACTCTCCCGCAGACTTCCTGTGTTCCTGAGACGTGCCAGGCTCACACCACCGGGCCTTTGCACAAGCTGTCACTCCTGCCTGGAACACCTTTCCCATCCTCCTTCATCTACCTGGTTGTCAAGTGTGACCTGGGGCATCCTGGCCTGCAGCAAGGCCTCTCACTGCACTTGTACGACCCCCATCAGAGCACATCTCACCCTGAACTGGGACACTTCGTGCTGGTGTATGTCTCCCCCTCCAGACTGGAGTCCCTGGGGATGGGCCAGTAGGGTGAGCACCTCAACCTGGTTTGCCCAGGGCTTTCTCTGTGTTACCACTGAAAATCATGCATCCTGGGAAACCTCCAGTCCCAGGCAAACCGGAATGTTGGTCACCCTATGGCTGGCTGGGTCTAGCTCTCCTCTGTGTCCCCAGCATCCCTCAGCACAGGGCCTGGCCCACAGGGGCTCAGGGACTGTAGAGCCAAGAAGCCTGGGAATCTAGTGGCTGCGTGCCTTTGCTTCTCAGCCCTTCCGCCATCTTGGAGGCCCTGACATCTGGGGCCATCTGGAGAACCCCTCCCTGACCCAGCCTCTGGGGCCATCTGGTGAACCCCTCGCTGGCTCAGCCTCTGGGACCATCTGGTCAACCCCTCCTTGACCCAGCCTCTGGGGCCATCTGGTCAACCCCTCCTTGACCCAGCCTCTGGGGCCAATCTGCTCAACCCCTCCCTGACCCAGCCTCTGGGACCATCTGGTCAACCCCTCCCTGACCCAGCCTATGGGGCCATCTGGTCAATCCTCCCTGACCCAGCCTCTGGGGCCATCTGGTCAACCCTACCTGACCCAGCCTCTGGGGCCAATCTGCTCAACCCTCCCTGACCCAGCCTCTGGGGCCATCTGGTGAACCCCTCCATGACCCAGCCTCTGGGCCCATCTGCTCAGCCCTCCTTGACCCAGGCTCTGGGACCATCTGGTCAACCCCTCCCTGACCCAGCCTCTGGGGCCATCTGGTTAACCCTCCCTGACCCAGCCTCTGG